TTCTCGGGGTCTGAATCTGGCTCAAATTGATATGGCAATATTGACGCCATCCTTGACTATACCGGAGCAGACGGAACTTGCTGCTTTGGCAAGGGGCGTACTGAAACACCATCTAAGCTCTTTGCCAATCACAACGCATTGGGACAGCTAACCAATCACAAAACATTTCGTTTATCAGAAGGCAGGCCTTCATTAAACACCGAACTAATTGAGCCGTTTGTGCCAGACTGGGGAGAAAGGTATTGTAATAATGTAAATTATGTGAAAAATAATGCGTTTTTTTTAACCACCAAGCATGAGAGCATGCTCTAGTACACCCCCAAAACAAAATCAAGACTTTGTAAAAGAACATAATAGGACCCCTTTAAAATCCAAATGAATACAAAAACTAACCCTGTGCCGATTCAGTCACCTTGGAAAAAGGTTTTATTTTGTGCTAAAGTGCGACGCTGTTAATGTAAAAGGCTTCATTGCTGTTTCTGCCTGCATGGCGCTTTTTAATTAGAGCGGGACACTTAAAACACACTCCAGCGAGAGCAATTACACCTGCCTGAGCTCAGAGCGCTTGACAATACTGCTTCACTCTCCAGCTCTCACAGGCCCACACTACAGAGACTCGCCACGATCAAAACTGCTTTTTAATGAGGAATTCAATCTTTCGTTGGAAAGCTGGACAGCAGAGACTGTGTAATGAGAGCAAAAATGCTGTTTTTTGTTGTTTAGATGCACTTCAGAATCTCGTGGGGCAGCAGAACGCCAGATACGGGATCATCAGGATCTTTAATGCACTTCAGGAGACCAGTGCCAACAGACATCTTCTCTACGTAAGTCACCCAGCGCTCTGGGACTGACCGTTAACCTTGCTCCAGTTTATTTATATCTCAGGCTTTCACTTTCAGTCAGCGGATGTTCTCGTTTCTGCTTTCTGTTGAAATACTCTCATGACACGACAGATTTACATCTTTCACAGGGAAAGTGGCAGGAATGAACCTGAATGGAGTGTCACTCAAGCTGTTGAAGACAAGATAAAGATTAAACGTACTTGACAAATAAATGTCTCTGTTTCTGTTGCTAATTCATCAGCACATGTTATTCGGAGGAAGTGTAATCTTCATTGCATTGGAACTTTCTTTGCCTCTGAAACAACTAATGTAATAAAGGCCATGCGGACAGATAAATTAATCTTAACCAAAAATCTTGTAGCCTGGCATCTTCCATCCACCGCATTTAATTTCTGCGGAATATAGAGCTGAACAGTGAGTTGACTGCATGCTTTTTTTTTTTTTAGCAGCCTTGGTTTCAGAAAGTGTTTTTCACATTCATTTTATCCATAGAGATTAAAAATCCCTAAAATAAAGGGTTTTTAAAGTGCCCCTATTATGGGTAATGAAAGGTTCATATTTTGGTTTTGGGAGTCCCCAACAACAGGTTGACATGCATGCAAGGCCAAAAAACACTTTCATTGTCTTGCAATATGCATTCATTTTTACCTTACTTGCTCAACGACTCCCAAACGATTCGCTCAACGATTAATTTTTCCAAACCCCTCCTTTGCGTGACGCTAATCTGCGGTGAATGGTCCGATTGGTCTCATTTTCATTTCATCATGCCTGTAATGCCTGATAAAGCAGCTTACCGCTCCAAAAGCTGCACCTAGTGGCAAAGAATGAATTTGCATTTTCATTCAGACTAACGCGAAAAGACCAACAAGTGGGCGGGCAATATGCTAATGTTTCATGTTGACCTCAACATGAAACGGCTTGGGATTAATTTTAAAAACGACTGGTTTCAGTGATTCAGAGTCGACTCTTTCTTTTGAGAGACAATTACTTTAAACACTGTGCACTTTCAGATTTAAAACTTTGCAGGATGTTTTCATTCACTTAGAGCTGTGTTACACACTGCATGAAAGGTTATTTTCAAAAATCCATAATAGGGGCACTTTAAGCCATGAACCAAACCAACACTACAAACTTGATGAAGTATTTGAAAATTGGGAAATAAAACAGAAAGGTACTAAATACAAGACCTCAATTACTTTAGTATACCTCAATTCTTTTATCCCATGTGGCATTAAAATGTATTATACATTCAAAATATATTTAAACATATATTATTATATTAATATTTAGCAATATATTTATTATTTGTTAAATTTATTATTATATTTCTATATATTCTATTATTTATTTTAATATTTTATTTATATTTATTTCAATAACATTTAATATATTTCAGGACAATTCTGATCTTTTTATTATTAATATTATATATTTTTTTTCAAATATGCAAGGACACTCAATTATGTGTTTTTATGTTCCCTTTAAAATTAAATTTTGCTATGGAGAAAATTAAAGGGAAGTTAACTTGTGGAAGCCAGCTGTTTTATTCTAATTGACTGTGAACATGCCACATTTTTAAGCTACATTTTAAACTAAATTAAATTAAAATTTACTCTAAATTGCTTTAAAATATATAGCTTTAACATAGATGCCTAATTTTGCTATGATCCAGTTTTCCAGGCTCCTAGTTTTACGTGATAATACTGTAGCGCCATCTAATGGTGAAATGATGATTAATGTATTGATGAAGTTTTCTCCTTTTCTCCTCAGATCTTGTTGGAGATGCTGCTTAAAGAACTCTATCCCGAGCTGAGCGTGGAGGCCGTACAGGCCTGAACATCCTCACATCACATCAGAGGCTCAGGATGTGTTTCTCTAATGTGCTGGATGGCTGTTTGTGGTGTTACATTTTTTTTTTCGTTCTGTTGTTTTATTTCTAAAACACTTGACTGACTCTGTAGTGCTGGATCTAGGAAGCGTCATGAATATGTTTGTGTTTTAATCCGTTGATGTGTTTCTCTCTGGTGAGATTGGAGGAACGGACCACATCCACTGCCAGCTGTCATCTTCTGCTTTTCTTTCTCTCTTTTGTTTTCTTCTAGGGGGTTTTGCTGTGTAATGTGAAGAACAGTGGAATGAGTGTTACACATCTGTAAAAAGAAGAACCCAGACCTCTGTAAACTCCCTACATATTATTGTGACCATTATGAAAGCTTTTAATCGTGCAATATGTCATGTACAGTTATTGTGAAGGTTCTGTTTGTGATATTATAATTAATATTGTTATTATTATAGAATTTTATTTTTACCAAAATAGACTAGAGCATTTATAAGCAATAAAATGCAAAAGAAGATTTGCCATGTGTTGTGTCTTTAATATAATGTGATATTAAATGTATACATTAAAATGCAATTCATATTTTAAACTTTAATACAATTTCTTAGTTTCAGTTGTTTTCATTTCACAGCTTAAACATTTCTTAGTTTCAATAGTTTTTAGTTTACAGTTTCTTAGTTTCAATATTTATTTATTTATTTTACTTATTCAGTTTCTTATATCTCAGGTAGGTGTAATTATACCTGTAGAAATTTCAAATAAAACATAAAAAGTAATTCATATCTTCTTTCTTTATTCATCAAAAATATCTAGTTGGTTTATGCCTGTAAAGATTTCGAAGACAAAAATCTAAAAAAGTATTTCATATCAACTTTATATAGTTTTACAGTTTCAATCACAATTATTAATTAATTCTAGTTAGAAATCCCTAGTTAGTGTAATTATATAACATTTTGAAAGAAAAAACACATTCATTTATTATTTATTGATTTATTCTTCAAAATTATCTAGTTTGTGTAATTATATCTGTAAATATTTCAGACAAAAATATGAAGTATTTCATATCTGGAACTTTTATGTTTATTTATTCATTAATTCTTCAAAAATATTTTGTATGTGTACAAAATATTTATAATAATATAATTTATAATCAAAATAATTATACCTGTAAATATTTCAAAACTCCCAAAAAGTAGTCATATACAGTAGTTATGACGTACAGAGAAAAAATATTGTTTATTAAAATGTGTATTGTTAAAATTGAATATTAGAAAATTTTTAAAGTTTGTTGAAAATAATGTTTTTTTATGTATACTCGTATATTTAAGATGTAAGCAAAATTTCTCAAAAAATTCTTGAATATAAAGATTACATTTCTTAGAAGTTGGCGCTTGCATTTTCAACTCGATTTTTAAAAAGATTTTCCTTTGCATCATTCTTAAATGGCACTGAAGTAATACTAAACATTTTAATTCATCAGCATCCCAAAAAAGTAAAGAAAAAAAAAAAAAACCTGAGTCAGATATACAGTTGTGCTCATAAGTTTACATACCCCTTGTAGAATGTGCAAAATGTTAATAATTGAAACAAAATAAGAGGGATCATGAAAATTTTGTTATTTTTTATTTAGTACTGTCCTGAATAAGCTATTTCATGTAACAGATGTTTACATACACTCCACAAGACAAAATAATAAATGAATTTATAAAAATGACCCCATTCAAAAGTTTTCATACCCTCGAATCTTAGTACTTTGTCGTTTCCTGGATGATCCACGACTGTTTTTATATTTTGTGATAGTTGTTCATGAGTCCCTTGTTGGTCCCGAGCAGTTCAACTGCCTGCTGTTCTTCAGAAAAATCCTGCAGCTCCTGCACATTCTTTGGTTTTCCAGCATCTTTTGCATATTTGAACCCTTTCCAACAGTGACTGTATGATTTTGAGATCCATATTTTCACACCGAGGACAACTGAGGGACTCATACATACCTATTATATAAGGTGAAAACATTTACTGATGCTCAAGAAGGCAACACAGTGCATTAAGAGACGGGGGGTGTGAACTTTTGAACAGGATGATGATATGTAAATTTTTCTTTTTTTGTTTAAAGATCATATTTTTTCATTTGGTACTGCACTTAAGAAGCTACATAAATACTTAAATGTTTCCCAGAAGACAAAATAAGTACAATTTACCCTGATCATACAATTCAAAAAGTTTACCCCCCCCCAGCTCTTAATGCACTGTGTTGCCTTCTTGAGCATCAGTAAATGTTTTCACCTTATGTAATTATTAGGTGAGTCCCTCAATTGTCCTCAGAGTGAAAAGATGGATCTCAAAATCATACAGTCACTGTTGGAAAGGGTTCAAATATGCAGAAGATGCTGGAAAACCAAAGAATGTGCAGGAGCTGGAGGATTTTTCTGAAGAACAGCAGGCAGTTGAACTGCTCAGGACCAACAAGGGACTCATGAACAACTATCACAAAACAGAAAGACAGTTGTGGATCATCCAGGAAATGATACACAATATTAAGATTCATTAATTCATTATTTGAATGGGGTCATTTTTATAAATTCAGTTATTATTTTGTCTTGTGGAGAATATATAAACATCTGTTAAGTGAAATAGCTTATTCAAGATAGTATTAAATAAAAAATAACATGCAATTTTCATGATCCCTCTTATTTTGTTAAAATTATTAACATTTTCCATATTCTGCAAGGGATATGTAAAGTTATGAGCACAACTGTATATCCATCAATTTCAGTGATGAGATTAAATGAGTGATTGCTGTTGCATGTGTGATTTATATCCTGCCGTGCACCACGTCCATTTGCAGCTCCTTGCAGATCTCTGGATCGATCCTGGCAGCCTGATGGAGGAAAAACGAGAAATCAAACTTAGGTACCACTGGACCTCCAAATGTCACCCACATCTTCTATTTTGCAAGTCCCAAACTTTTCCCACATTGCTTCTCAGTAGCAGTGCTTTTTACAGGTCCAATGTCAGAACTGGCATTATAATGGTAAGGTGGTCAACAGTACCTGTGTGAAGTAGCTCTTCACTCTGTCTCTGTTCTTCAGGACGCCTCGGCCCAGCTGAAGGCAGCGTGCGTAGTAAAACATGGCTATAGCGATGCCCTTCCTGATGTACTCCTCCAGACAGTCCGTGTGCCGTGCTATGGCACTGATGTCCTCGTATCCGGACACTCTGAGAGTCAAAACAAACCCGTTTTTACCACAGAAAACAGAACGGTGTTCTTTACGGTTTCTGCAGGATGCGCTGTACCTCTCTCCCAGGGCGGCTGCTCTGGAGTAGAGCTTCCTGTGGTAGTAGCAGGCCGTCAGGTGACCCTGAGCGTAGACATTTCCTCTCTCTGCCGCCTCCTTCAGGCAGAACAGGGCAGCGTCGGGGTCCTTCTGCACGCCATGACCGTACAGATACATGACGCCCAGAGCGCCCTGAGACTCCAGGCTGCCGTTACCACACGCCTCCGAGTGCCACGAGAACGCCTGCGGTACATCAACACATGACCAGACTGACTGAAGACAGAGACATTTAACACCAGTGCATTAGATTAGATCTCTGTTTCTCTGACTGATGATGATGATGATTTAAAGGGATAGTTCATCCAAAAAGGAAATTCTGTCATCATTTACTCACCCTCAAGTTGTTCCAAACCTGTATGACTTTCTTTGTTTTGTTGAAAATAAAAGATAATTTGAAGAATGTTGGTAACATAACAGTTGATTGTCCCCATTGACTTCCATGCTATATCTGTCTGTCTGTCTATCTATCTGTCTATCTGTCTATCCATCCATCCAGCCGTCCATCCATATCCCATACTATGGAAGTCAATGGGGTCCATTAAGTGTTTGGTTAGTTACACAAAGTCTTCAAAATATATTTTATGTTCAACAGAAGAGAGAAACTCATACTCAAACTCAACTTGAGGGTGGGAAATGATGACATTTTTGGGTGAACTATCAATTTCAGAAACAAGAATATATTTGAAAGTTTTTTTTTCTTGAAAGATGCATTATTGGACAGTAATGGTCATTGGCAGTTGTTTTAAAATTGCTTTAGAAATAAGTTTGTATTTGTAATGACAGTAGGTCAAAAGTGGATTTGAGGGACCATGTGACACTAAAGACTGGAGTAATGATGTTGAAAATTCAGCTTTGCATCTCAGGAATAAATTACATTTGTAAAAATATTCAAGGACAAAACAGAGATTTTAAATTGTAATATTATTTCACAACATTAAAGGGGTCATATGATGCTGCTAAAAAGAACAGTATTTTGTGTATTTGGTGTAATGAAATGTGTTTATGCGGTTTAAGGTTAAAAAAACACATTATTTTCCACATACTGTACATTATTGTTTCTCCTCTATGCCCCGCCTTTCTGAAACGCGTCGAACTGTATGTTTGGTCAAATAAATGCAGCCTTGGTGAGAATAAGAGAATAATAACTTATTTTAAAAACATTTAAAAATGTTGAAATGATTTCAAACTTCTTAATGGCAGTTTATAAAATATTTCATGCTTACTAAAGGATTTATCTATTAAAAATAAATGATAAAAAAGGAAAGAAAAAAGTTCTAGTTAGCATCAGATATTTTGGTCTGTGTTGTGAATTTTTCCTAACAATATGTTGCTTTTGTTAAGTCAACATTACAAGACAGAGAAAAGTAGGTAAAAAAAAGTTTCTACACTTAATTTTAAATATGTTAAAATAATTTTAAATACGTTATTATAATTTTATTCTAAATATTATATTTATTATCATTCATGTGTATTATTAACTTAATTTATTATAAACCATTTGTCATAGTGTCATTTTATAGGCCAACTTGGATGGCTAATTCACTATGGGTTCCGTCAGGAATTTGCTATGGGTTTTTGTTTGGTGTATGAGTAGAATAAGGTCTGTGGTTAGCATTACTTAACTTCACATTCACACTTTTTTACAACATAAATTATACAAAGTCATACATCAAATGTGAACTCTGAAGCTGCTGTGTGATTTTAAAAATGTTTAAAAATTGCCATATGAGGACTATTGTGGTTCAGATTCATCAAGCAAAAAACTCCTTGTGTGTTTCTAGTTTATCTAGAAGCTTGTTAGCAACTGTTAGAACAAAACATGAAAGTCTCTTCCAGTAATGCTACTGCAACCACAGACCTTATTTCCCTCCTAAATCACAAACCACTATTCTGAAAACCCATTAGAATTTCCCAAAGGAACCCAATGCTAATTCTCTTCTACATTCCAGCAGCTCTACAGGTCAGTGCTTCAGCTGATGATGCATGATGGTTGTGAGTGATATCAGGACCTTTCTGAGGTCCAGAGTCTCCGGTCTGCAGTAAAACATGCCCAGAGACGACTGCGCTTTCACACTAGCATTCGGGTTTCCATCATCAGCTGCCAGGAGCCAAAGCCTGCCATAGAAATTTTCATCAGAAGTGCTTCACATTTTTATGCACAGATTTCTTGACATTATATTTTGCTGTGCTTGTTTCTCACCGCTCTGCTTCAGCTCTGGATGCCTCGACACCAAAACCCTCCAGATACGACCGGCCCAGGTTATACAGCGCTGCGTATCTGATACAGCCCACTTCAGACGAATCCCAGAATGCAACTGTTCTCATATACTCAATTGCCTTGCTCTGTTAAAGGGTTTCATAAGAAAAAAATCAGTACTGCTTTTACAATGAGATATTGGTAGCTCTAACATTAACAATGAACATTAATTCTGCAGCATTTATTCATCTTAGTAAACGTTAATTTCAACATTTACTAATACAATTTTAAGATCATTGTATCTGTTAACATTAATGAATGGACTGTGAACATTTTTTATTAACTTTAAACATTAACAGGTAAGTAAATCCTGTAAAAATATATTGCTCATTGTTCATGTTAGGTAATGCATTAATGTTAACAAATGAGATCTTCTTGTTTCTGAGATATTAATAGTATAATAAAGGAAATCTGAGCTGCTTTTGCAGACATTTTAGAAACTTGTAACATCCGAAAAGCTTATTTTTTTTTTAAATGTTGTATTATATGTTATTAATAATGATCTATTAACTGTATATGTGTGAGATATCATAATAACAGCAATATGGTCCTCACAAGGTCTTCTTTGGTTCCAAGGCCATCGTAACATATGACAGCCACCTGATACAGAGCTCGAGGATCTTCATCTTTAATGCCATCAAAGATGATCTCTGCTTCTGCGTAGCGGCCCTGCAGAACACCAGATTATTCCTGAGATGTGTAATTATTATGTAATGCAGTAATGCTGAAAGCAAATTCTTACGTGATTCTGTCTTTGCATATTGAAACAGAATAATTGAGAGAAACTTTAAGGCATCAGTCACCTCCTCGTAGTGTAACTGTCCCAGGAGGAAGGCAGCTTGTGAATCTCCTCTTTCTGCTTTCTCTTTAAGCAGAATCACTGTCTTCTCCACTGACCCACCAGTAGTCTCTGCTTTAAATTAAAAAAAAAAAAATTATATATATATATATATATATGTGACCCTGAACCACAAAACTAGTCTTAAGAGTTAATTTTTCAAAATTGAGATTTATACATCATGCTGAATAAATAAGCTTGCCATTGATGTATGGTTTGTTAGGATATGGCAATATTTGGTCGAGATACAACTATTTGAAAATCTGGAATCTGAGGGTGCAAAAAAATCGAAATATTGAGAAAATCGCCTTTAAAGTTGTCCAAATGAAGTCCTTAGCAATGCATATTACTAATCAAAAATTAAGTTTTGATATATTTATGGTAGGAAATTTACAAAATATCTTCATGCAACATGATCTTTACTTAATATC